AGCATCGGAATGCACAGATTTGATTGGCTGAGCAGCATCACATGAAACGATTGGAGCAGATGCGATTGGTCTGTGAGTTTCCTGGTCCACTAAACCAGTACAGTAAATACTTGAAAAGCTGCGCGGGTGAAAATAGAAATGCTCCGTCACGAGGTAGTAAGTCTAAATAATAAATCTGCTGTAGGTCGGCAGTCCGGAGAGGACAGAGGCTGGGTCCGGATCCGGACCGCGGTCCGACTATTAGTGACCCCTGATATATACAGTATGGTAGAAGGGAAGCAACTTTATAGAGTTAGTTTGGGCATAATAAAACTTGAGTCGTTAATGATACTCGTGGGACCATTAGTAGAAACAAGTCAATGTAATGGATGATTGAGATAAACAAACTAAATCAAAAATGGATAAAGAAGAGTGAAATTTTCAAGAAACTGATTGACATTGATAATAATAATAATAACAGAAGCGCAGAGGCACAGAGGATTATTGCTACCAATGAGAGAAATTAAACGGAAGATACAGAAGTATGGGAATGTACATAGGTGTTGTTTGTTGAAATTTGCTGTGGCACTAAGTCAGAGGCAGCTTGAGTGATGTAAGAAGTTTTGAATATGTTTCATGGAATTGCTGAGATTGATTTCTTTGAATGGCTGAGCTTTATTCCAATGTTACATGTTATGTTAAAAGATTCAACCATTGTGGAATAATGAGTTGGTTTTTATTCTTTCAATTAAGTAAAATAGATTTCTTGGCAATAGTTAGGGCTACTAGAAAGGCAGGAAATACAGGAAAAAGGGTCATAAAAGACAGAACACAACACACCAGTCTTATTACTAACTTGTCCCTCAGCACAGGGTACACAGTTGAAACAGCAGATGGGTTCTCCTGGTGATGCGGGAACCTGGTGGACAGCTGTCACTGCATACAGACCGGGAAGCCTGAGAGGCAAAGTTCAGCCACTCAAAATGACTTCAATCAATATTCCAGCTTTTGTATTTTTTCTGTTTTCTGCTTTGTTATGCAATACTTGCCTCCGCAGCCTGTATTATAGATAGAGACTAAAAGGTAAAAGCATGCAAACCAAATTCAGTGTGATCTATAAAAGTTGTGTTACAAATAAAACTGAAAACAATTCCGTGAACTACCCATTGTTATCATATCTTATCTACAGGATAATGAGGGGGTAAAAGTGTAACAATCCTGTAATAATTATCAGCCAAGTGTTTATTTTTTTTCTTGTAAATGTAATTACTGCATTGTTTGAACTGGAATATGACTTTTGTTGTCATAACCTTTAGAGCTGTGCTACAATGCAAAACATTATTAAAACATTTGCATGATTACATTCATAAATTACATTTGTAAAAGGCCACTTTCACTCTTTATGACCAACTACCCATTCAGACATACCTCTATTAACTTGGTAATTATACTTAAAATTTTAGGTTAGATAATGGGTTATAATAATTTTCTGATTGTTTATCAATAAAGCATATTGCACACAAATAAAAACAGATTAGCTTAACAATCTAAGAGGTGAACATGGTCTCAGGCCCATTTGTAGGGAACACACTTGCTTCCCAACAGGCCACTGAATCACTGAGCCATTTATGACCAGGGTGCGTCCAGAAGGTGAGGAGGCGTCGTAGAAACCTAATTTAACCAAAAATAATGAGCTGTCAGGCATCCTTTGCCAGTTCATGAGATCATAAGAAGCATTGGGGTCACCGTTTTGATCAAAGTTGACTATCTCCCCAAGTGCAGAAAAATTTGCACGCTTCATGTAGTGGATTACCTGAGAGAGAAAGGAAAACAGGTTGTTTACACAAACAACCTGTTTTCACAAACTATGGTGCATTTCTTTTTTTCTATTTTTACTTAAAGTGAAAATATTTAACCTGCAGTTACTCTCACCTGCCAAGGTTTAAAATTCTTTGGGTCTGCACAGGTGCCATTCAGGAAAGGCCCCAGTCCGACTGTGCAGTTACTCATATCTTGCAAGGCATGGGCCACCAGATACACTGCCTTGTAGACATTATAGGACACTCTTAGCTGTGTCACACCAGAATAAGGAGAGTAAACATCATGTAACTCCTCTGTCCCTTTACATGGCAGTCTGTCAAAGTTATCGACCCACGTGAGAGTGCCTGTTCACTGACCTGTTCAGTTGGCAGTTAAACATTTCTTCCCAAAATTCTGCCAGGAAAGCTGATTCATGAATATAGGATAGACTAGTGAGGTGTTGTTTCAGCCCTGGAATCACGTCAGCTCTCCGGATTGCAAAACCTAATGTTCCCATCAGGAGATCTCCAAACTCTTCAAATTTAGCAGTGGCCCAAGCCTCACTGGCGATCCACTGCAGGCCAGTTATATTACGATGTTGGATCTCTCTTAGAATACTCTGCATCTCTGACTCACCAGAAATGTTTATGATTACCTTTGAGGACGCCATCTTAACAGTGGAAATGTAGACATGATTAGTATGTAATACAATTAAACATTTTTAAGAACTTCAATTAAACCGATTGCGCTCTCCCCGATCCACGGGTATTTATTGCAAGTCTTCGTGTTATTTTGTCTATCCCTTGAATGTATGAAGAATTAGAATTGGCCCATAGGTACCTGAATAACATCCAGAAGCTCATCTAGAGCCTGCTGACTCAGGGAAACTGGGTAGAAGTGAGTGTAGGCAGAACACACACCATACTGCACAGACTCCTGCAGGAAGAGCTGGATGGCAAATCGAGCGTAATCAGATTCCACTCCAATGACTCCCACCCAGGTCCAGCCAAAATAGCTAACCAGCTGGGCTAGCGCTTTGATTTGGAAGGCATTCCTAGACATTGTTCGCATGAATGTGGGGAACTCCCTTTGGTTACTCAGACAGCTGCAGGATGCAAAATAACTCACCTGTTATTATGGAAAACAATAATTAACCTTCTGCACAGTTGGGCTCAATCAAACGGCTGCTGAACAGGCAGGAAATTTCACCACACAATATCAGAACTTTCCCTGCACTTGAAATGAAAGACGAGTTTGGAGTCTTGTGACTTAACTACTTAGCTAGATGGAAGATGAGACAATACTAATTTTAAAATGTGGACATTTAAAATGTTTTTTACCTTTCTGAACAGTTTCAAGAAAAGCAGATTTCAAAAGACAGCAATGATTTGAAACTGAATGGCACATCATCAATATGGTAAACACGCATATATTATTAACATTGGGACAGCAAAAGTACTCAGACAACAAAGTAGTCTCACCAGGGGGATATGGAAAGAACCCAGGCTTCTTAGCAGAGCCATAGACACGCCAGAGGCAGCGTCTCCTATGATTATTGGAGATTCTGTCCTTTGTAGAGCAGCACAGCCTAAATTAGAACTTATGTTACTTTCAGGACTTTCTCTGTCTCTGTTCACACTCTTGGCTCTGGAGCCACTCTCTGGCTGGCCGTTCACCAACAGCAAAGATGCTCTCAGAGACACAGGTATGTCATCACAGCTGTCACGGATGTGGAAACCCAGCTTGAGCTGTGGCAGGAGGTCGCTGCGCTGGTTGATCTCTTTGATTGCAAAAGTCATAGTCTGCATCCAGCGCAAGGCACGAGAGCTGAAGCTGTACAGAGGTGAAAAGCAGTTCATTACACAGCACAAATATATGTGTATATTAAAATACCCTGAACACACATGCAATTAAATGAAATGTACTCTGTGCTACACAAGCCAACTACTATCAAATACATTAAAATATTAACTTACTACTTATACATATTAGCTGTTGGTTTTGTGTTATATGTTGGAAGAGAAGACACAGGGCTGTAGTATAGAGGGAATAAGCCCCCAATAACAACATCTCCATCTTCATACAGACTGTTTTTCTCTTCTTCCCCCAAGAAAACACAGTTATCAAGAGCAGCAGTGTCTACAGCGGCTACCATTTGCAACACCACTAATTTACAATGGAATCGGCAGCTCACAGGTACAGTATTTTTGAGATTTTGGGGTACTTTGCTTCCTTAACATGTCATTTTTCAGACTAATGCAAGAAAACCCATTCAGCAGTTTATTTTAATACAGTATGTCTCTGTGTACCTGTAGAAGTTAACTTTCTAATGCTACATCTCCTGCCGCTGTCGCTGTCTGCACCATATCATCTGCGGTACCGTTGGAAAGCTCTCTCACTCCTGTACAATTCTGTTGGATCCAAATGTGGCCATTTCCTTTGTACCAGCAACCAATGGTGAATGTACAGAGGTGGATTTAAGCTAAGCATGAAATCTGGCTCTGTCTGTTTCTGTGTGTTTTGTGTGTGTAATTCTGTCTGTTCAGACATGCCGTTACTCAGATATCAGTTTTAATGTGTTAATATAGTGGTGTTTTTAAGGATTATATTTGATATTGGGTCTGTAAATACTCATTTTCAATGAAAATGTGTAGAATTGTACAATATTTATATACTTTTCTCAAAATGAGTTTTTCCTGATACTCTGAGCCTTGTCATGCCCAGCTCCGGCAGTTAAGGTCACGTTGTGTTATTTGTATTTTCCCCTCTGTTTTGTCTCACATCTCATCTTGTGTTTGGCTCTAGGTCTCCTCTGATCCCTGTCTGCCTCCCTGTGTGTGATCATTTGCCCCGATCTAATATGTTCCACCTGTGCTTCATTGTCGGCCTCTGTCTCTTTGTATAAATGCCCTGTTACCCTCTGTGTAGTCACCAGATTGTCTTGTTCATGTAACAAAATTCCAGCCACTTACTTTAGTATGTTTCCTTGTGTATCTCCTCTGTGTGTTAGACCTGACCTTGGGTGTGTGCCTGATAAGCCTAAAATCTCCACTTCAGTATTACTTACAAACACCCAACTTCTCGTTAGCCACTCCCCACTTGAGTGAGGCTTGCCCACTTTAGTGTACCGGTAAGTATGTGTGTTTGACCATGTATATTGTAATTATGAATGACACAGGTTTAATGTCAATTCAAAATGTGAATGAGGGCAGCAAGCTACCATGCAAGGCGCAGTTCTGACGATCGGGAGCAATTTTGGTTTGAGTCTCTTACTCAAGGACACTTTGATATGTGGACAAGAGGAGCTGGGTATCCAACCACCAACCCCGTGTGTTTGTGGACAGCCTGCTTGACCCAAATTTTCTAACCATTATTTGAAGCACCTCTGTATAATGCAATACAATTTAACAGTGCCACAAACTGCAGCCTCCAAAAAGACCATAAAGTTGAATCCTGTTTTTTTAAGTTGGACATTCTGTCTCTATTATAATTGTACTGTTACATAATTTACTATTTGTTATTCAGTCTGCATTAACCCACTTAACACTTAACACAATAAATAAGGCGGGGCTGCTGATGTCCAATCCAGTGTCACTCTGTCATTAATAAGATGCAAGAACATGAAGGTCTCATACTGTATATAATCTGGGTAATTTCTTGCTTTCTCTCTCTCTCTTGCTGGGGTGTGTAACAATATGACTCTTCTTGTGTTATTACCTGTGCTTTGCACTGTCTGTGTCATCACTATAGCTTATAACCCAGTTTCCAGCTTCACCTCTCCACCCCCATCTGCAGCCAAAGTGTGCATGCTTCAAAATAGCTTTCAGCCAGGTTTTGTTGCCAAGGGTGACTATGTTATTGGGGGGATCTTTCCCCTTCACTATAACCAGGAGATGCCAGACCTCAACTGCACCTACAAACCACCACCAGTGAAGTGCAACGGGTGAGTTTAATGAAGACTAAAATCAAAGGTCCTATATTTTACTTACTGCTTACTGTATACAACACACATGTTGGGAAACTCTTCTTTTAAAGACATATATTTATTTATATATTTATACAATACAGTGATAATTTAGCCTGACATGTGAGAAAATGTCCTTATATACAGTGATGGGTTCCACTGACTTGCACTTTGTTTGAGATAGATACATAAAAGACATGGTAATGCTTTGTTTTATGGCTGTGTAATCACTCATTTCAAAATCATTAAGAATGTCCTTTGGTAATGATGCAACGATGCAATTCAGACTAACTTTAAATTCAAAACATCCATGCTCGTTACATGATCACAGTACATTTACTCCATTTAGCCGATGTGCTACACCTGTCTGCTTTTCAGTAACGTTAACCACCTTTACTATCTGTGAATCTGTCACTGGAGGCTCAGCAATGTCAGCACAGCCCAATGTACTGGATGATAATGAAACGGTTTGTGAGCTGGAATGGATATTATAATGAGATTGTGTCAGACTTTATAACAATTAGGCCGCAAGCTAATGTGACTTTGTCTGTTTCTCCAGCTTTACTAATGCTCACTTTGTTCTGTTCTTATTCGACATCATCTGAACCTGATTGGTCCGATGGGCTTCAGCACATAAACCTTTATTGTTGTCTCCTTATGTGGAGCCTGTGTTTGCTGTGAGCTGGTAATTTTATGGTGTTAGTGAACTGCATGTTGTTAGCTGCCGTGTTGTCGCTGTAGTCTGAGAGAGGCTCGGGAGCGCGCACAGAGATGAATCCGACCGGGAGACCTCACATTAAAAGCAGAATAGTGGCTGATGCAAGCAACAGAGAAAACAGGCGTGTGGTTAATTTCTAAGTGAGTTTTGAGAAGAATTTGATTTATTAAAATCAAAAACTTACATATAGCCCCTTTAAGGAGATGTCCTCAATTCACATTTTAAAGCAAAGCCTCTCCACTATTTTCTTAATGGCTGGGTGGTGCATGGTGTTTAATCAGGATTTTTTTGTAGGAAATGTCAGAAAATAAAAACATCCCAACAGATTATTTACATTTACATTTACTCATTTTATCCAAAGCGACTTACATTTGAGGAACAACATACAAGCATCAACAGAGCATCAACTACAGATCAACTGACAATACATACTAGTAAGAGCAGCAATAAATACTAGTAAGAGCTCACAGTACATATCACATCAATGGGGTAGACACCTAAGGAAGGAAGCAAGAGTTAACAAAAAGTGCAATCAATACAAGATCATTGTAGGGGATAGAAGAAGAAGAGCACAGGAAGTGCATGTTAGAGGTTAGGAGTTAGAGGTGTTATAAGAGGAAGTGTTCTCGGAAGAGATGAGTTTTCAAGAGCTTCTTGAAGTTAGAGAGGGACGTCCCTGCTCTGATGGCATGTGGTAGCTCTTTCCACCATTGTGGTGTCACAGATGAGAATAGCCGGGACTGGGATTGCTTTGTGTGAAGGGATGGCAGAGCCAGGCGGCGTTCGTTGGAGGAGCGTAGCGGCCGAGAAGGAACGTAAGTTTGTATTATGGAGTTTAGGTAGATATGTGCAGACCCAGTAGTCACTCTGTATGCAAGCATTAGTGACTTGGATTTGATTCTGGAGGCCACGGGAAGCCATTAGAGGTCACTGAATAATGGAGTGACATGACTCCTTTTGGGCTGATCAAAAACCAGACGTGCTGCTGCGTTCTGAACCATTTGTAAGGGTTTCACCGCACAAGCTGGAAGACCTGCTAGGTGGGCATTGCAATAGTCGATGCGAGAGATAACCATGGCTTGTACCAGAAGCTGGGTGGCGTACTGAGTGAGGTAGGGCCTGATTACCCTTATGTTGTATAGAGCAAAGCGGCATGACCGAGAGACAGCAGCAACATGGTCTGAAAAGGACAGCTGGTCATCAATCATGACACCCAAGTTTCTCACCACCTTGGTTGGAGTGATGGTTGCGGAGTCAATTTGTAGTTTGATGTTATGGTGGATAGATTGCTTGGCTGGAATGACCAAGAGTTCAGTCTTAGAGAGGTTTAGTTTAAGGTGGCAAACCTTCATCCATGCAGATATGCCCGATACACAGTCCGTGATCCGCGCCGAGACAGTGGGATCGACTGGCGGGAAGGATAGGTAGAGTTGTGTGTCGTCTGCGTAGCAGTGGTAAGAGAAGCCGTGCGAGCGAATGATCGGCCCCAGTGAGGTGGTGTAAATTGAGAAGAGAAGGGGCCCAAACACTGAGCCTTGGGGCATCCCTGTGGAGAGGCAGTGGGAGGAGGATAATTGTCCTTGCCACAAAACATTGTAAGAATTCCCCCGAGAGGTAGGATTCGAACCACAGGAGTGCTTTACTCGAGATGCCCATTGCTGAGAGAGCGGATAGCAGGATCCTGTGATTGACTGTGTCTAAGGCATCTGATAGGTCAAGCAGGATAAGAACCGAGGATTGGGCTGCAGCTTTAGCTGACCTTAGGGCTTCTGTTACAGACAGAAGAGCCGTTTCAGTAGAGTGGGCACTCTGAATTCTGAGACCTGTTTGAATACTGCCCGTTCAATAGTAGTATCAACACTGGTTGATAGTTCTCAACTTGAGTTGGGTCAAGTGAGGGCTTTTTGAGCAAGGGTGTAACCCAAGCCCTTTTGAAAGTGGTCGGGAAGGTTCCTGAAGCCAGAAAAGTATTTATCACGAGTGATTGTCGGGACCACAGTAGGAGATATGGCTTGGAGGAGATTCGTAGGAATCGGGTCCAGTGGGCATGTAGTTGGACGGCTACGGGTCAAGAGTTCTGATACTTCGCTCTCTGTGAGAGGAGTAAATGAGGGGAGTGAACAACCACTGACCTGAGAGGGCAGAGGAAAAGATGTAGTAGGACTGCTACAATGGTTGAGTTTGAGTGTTTCAGAGAATTGGCTAGTTATAGCCTCCACTTTGCCTGTGAAGAAGGCAGCAAAGGTATCAGCAGACAAGTTTGTGGGTGGTGGAGGTGGAGGAGGATTTAGTAGTGCTTTAAAAGTGGAAAATAATTTCCTTGAGTCAGTGGCACTGCTTATTCTGTCATTATAGAAGGCAGTTTTGGCAGCACTGATGCTTGTTGAGAAGGAGGATAGGAGCAATTGTTAGCCCTTAAGGTCGGCGGGGTCTTTGGTTTTTCGCCATTTTCTTTCAGCCACTCTGAGATCAGTACAGAGCCCACGGATGGTATCAGTTAGCCACGGGTGGGGCTGGTTTGGGCGAGCAGGCTTGGTGGATAGAGGACACAGGCTATCCAGGCACGAGCTTAGTGTAGAGCACAGAGATTGTGTGGCATCACTGACCTCAAGTGTGGAAAATGTGTTGAGGGAGGGTAGAGCGGAAGCTACCACTGAGGCAAAGTGAGCAGGAGACAGGTTGCGTATATCCTACTCAGTTTAGCAGAGAACAGCATCACATCCTCACATTTGAGGAAGTGGAACCAGCAAATGCTGGGTTTTTGCTAAATAAATGGCTTAAACAATTATCTAAATAATATTTTTTCAGACAATGGACTAGTCAATTAATTGACTAATAATTTTATAATTTCAGAGCTGAAAGCCATTATCTGCTCCATAGGTGCCAGTGTCTGTGTGCAGTGCCAGCTGTCTTCCAGGGTCCCGGAAGGCTGTCCGTCATGGGGAGCCTGTTTGTTGTTTTGACTGTGTACTATGTGACGCAAAATTAGCAATCAGACAAGTGAGCTTAAAACCAAACAATAAAAATCACAACCATTCAAATCTAATATATCATATTACAACTAGATAATATTTCAATATTTTAAAATGAGCTATTTTTTTTATCTTCTTCCCTTTAGATTCAATAGAGTGCACATTTTGTCCTGAGGACTTCTGGTCAAACAAAGACAGAACAGCCTGCATCCCCAAGATGGTGGAGTTCTTGGCCTATGATTCCTTGGGTATAGCACAGTCATTGTCCGTGTGAATAACTCTGAACTCAGCTTCTTCATCCTGTTTGCACTGACCCTGTGTTTCCTGTGTTCCCTGGTGTTCATTGGGGAGCCAACACGTTGGTCCTGCATGCTGCGCCACACTACCTTTAGCATCACATTTTCACTTTGCATCTCCTGCATTCTGGGGAAGACTCTGGTGGTGTTGGCTGCTTTCACTGCCACCAGGCCAGGGGACAACATCATGAAGTGGCTGGGGCCCAAACAGCAGAGGCTCATTATCTTTAGTTGCACTCTGGTTCAGGTGGTTATCTGCGCTGCCTGGCTCATTGATGCTCCCCCTTTTCCATCCAGAAATACACAATATGAACGCTCAAAGATCATACTGGAGTGTAGTGTGGGCTCCAGCCTCGCATTCTGGTGCGTTCTAGGATATATTGGTCTACAGGCCTGTCTGTGCTTTGTACTAGCTTTTCTGGCCCGTAAGTTGCCGGGCAACTTCAACGAGGCCAAGTTCATCAATTTTACCATGTTGATCTTCTGTGCTGTGTGGCTGGCATTCATCCCTGCTTACATCAGCTCCCCTGGGAAGTATGCAGATGCAGTGGAGTCATTTGCCATTCTGGCTTCCAGCTTTGGCTTGTTGTTCTGACTGTTTGCTCCAAAGTGTTACATTATTTTACTGAAGCCAGAAAGAAATACAAAACAGCATCTAATGGGGAAAAAAAACCTCATAAGTTAACCATTTAAAAATACTTGTGATTTCTATTCACTTAATGTTATTTAAAAGTAGTCACATTTATTGAGGCAGTTTAGCATTGCAACTGAAAAGTGGCATTACAACTTAGTACTTGTAACTGTAACTTTAGTAAAGTGTACAAGGTATTCAGTATACAATGCGCAAACAACAACAACAACCATCTTGCATGACTTTCATCATTTCAACTCATAATGTGACTCAGTAGTGTGTATGGCCCCCATGTGCCTGTAAGCATTTCCAACAATGTCTGGGCATGTCCTGATGAGACGGTGGAAGGTGTCCTGGATCAGATCATCACTGAGCTCCTGGACAGTGTGTGGCGCTACAAGGCGTTGTTGGATGCACCGATAAATGTTAGGGCCAGTGAGAGATATGATTGGGCCAGCCCAGTGTCAGTGTAGAAAATTACTCAATGGGCCGATGTCTTTATGGGCCGGTCGTTGGCCCATTTTTTATAAAGAGTTAAATAAATAAATAATTTATGTTACACCTGCCCCACAGGTGCGCCGGCATTTGCCTCGTATGCCAGATTACCAGTCCACCCCTGTTCTTGAGACTATGCTGGGAGACACAGGAAACCTTCTTGTGATGGCAGGTATGGTTGTGCCATCCTGAAGTAGCGGGACTACCTGTGCATCCTTAATCGGCTGCAGGTACCGCCTCATGCTACCAGTAGTGACAAGGACACTAACAAAATGCAAAAATACATTTAGCTTTATGGGGGTTGTCTTGCTGTTGCCTCTCCATTGAACCTGTTCATGTTCATTTGCACAAAAACAGGTGACACTTATTCACAATTGCTTATGCTTCCTAAATGGACTGATTGATATCCCTGAAGTTTAACTGACTTGAAGGTATATTGTGATGATATTGTGAAGTGTTCCCAAATTTTTTAAGTGTATGCTCAAACATTATTACAACAAGTGCATCACTGTAATGTATGTATTTAAAAAGAAATAAAGATATTTTGCGGTGAAAGTTCTTTGGAGTTTATAAGAAAAAGGTCTACAATTGTGCTGACCGTGACTGAAGGTGAGATTGAGTGAAATGAATGTGCCAGCTTTTTATACCAAGCTGTAACATTACACTGCATTTATTTGGCTGTTACTTTTATCGAGAATGACTAACAATAAGTTGCTTTTTTCATCTGCGAAACATCTCTCTACTACTCCCTGCTTTTATGCAACACTCTACATAAGTCTTAGTCAATGCTTTGGTCACGTCACACATGACCTACTGTAATGCAATTCTGGCAAATATCCCCAATAAATATATTAACCAATTTCAACTCATCCAGAACTCTGCAGCACAGATTATTACTTACTCATGTCACGTCACAGCTGATTCAAGTACACTTGCTCCCTGTGTCATAATCGATTTCCTTTAAAATCTCATAACATTTAAAGCTCTTCAAAATCTATCCCCTGCTTGTCTCAAAGACATCCTTCAGACTTTCACTCCCTCTCGCCCCCTGCAGTCTTCATCAGTAAGTCTACTAGTACTACAGTGTGTACCAGGGTCTATGCTCCACCCAAACTTTTGATTGTAGAGATTGATTGTTGATTATTATTGATGATCTTATGTGATCTAAGATGACCTTGAGTGCCATGAAAAGTTATTATTTTCACTATTATGTACTTTATCGACAGAAACAGAAATGTTGATTTACAGTATGCCACATACATGAAGAAATTTGATGAGATGAAAAAACAAATTGCTTATCATACCCACCAGTATTTTATGGTAAACCTGATTCACATACACTACAAGTCAAGACTTTGGACACACTTAAAAATGTCCTTGTATTTGAAAGAAAAGTACACGTTTCTTCAATTAATCTGATATACAGTGTAGACATTACCAAGGTTGTAAATAAATCTATCTGCCATTTCTTGCACATACAGTATGCTTGTGATTACAACAGGTACATGTGGCAAAATAACTCACCCATAGGCAGCAGAGATGCTCACAAGTCTTTGAGCTAGAGTCCAAGTCAAGTCTCAAGTCTCTGAGCTAGAGTCCAAATCAAGTCTCAAGTCTCTCGTGGTTATTACGAATGTTGTATCACCTGCTGCGTTCAATCCAGGCTGCTTATAAAACTGCATAGCTATAAGGAATTCTGTAACTGTAACCTGTTTTTCATTTACAGAGCACAACCATGTAATGTGCAATGCAATTATTGACGGCTTATTAAATACTGCAAGTCAACACACTCCCCAGACTCTTAAACCCAGTGTAACGGTAACTAAATAAAACTGTGACATTGCATAATCAACAATAAACCTGTAACCTGTTTTTAACTTACAGAGCACAGCATGTAGCCTAATGTACAATGCGTCTACAATTAATTACAGCTTATAAACTACTGTAAGTCAACAAACCCTGTTGACTCTCAAACCCAGAGTAAAGTTAACTAAATAAAACTGTAACCTGTTTTTACCTTACAAAGCACAACCATGTAATGTGCAATGCAGTTAATAACAGCAAGGTCATCAGATGTTTCCTAAAAATAAACATTGTTCACAAGTCCCGCACCTCGAGGATGAGTCTCTAACTTGAGTCCCCATCTCTGATTGGCAGATTAAGTTAACTCAATATTTAGAGATAAGATAGAACCCAAAAACAAAACAGTATTAAACATTATTAAACATTGTGTGATTCATCACAAAAAAACAAACCAGGTCTCTCACACCAAAGGCATGTGTCTTATCCATTGCGCCATCAACACCGCAACTCATTTGGCCAACCCCCCAGAGACAGTATCGCCTGGTGCCATTGAGGTGACCCCCGTCCTGCTTGGTTCCTCGTTGGTGGCCGACCAACACCTGTTCCTGGTTCTCCATTGGCGGCCTGGCCGATTCCCGCCCCCAGAGTCATGTTGGCAGACCGGCTGGCTCCTCAGTCCCCTGAGTTGCTGCTGTCCCCACACGCTGCAAACCACAGCAAATCCCTGTCTTTGCAGTGCGACAGCAGCTTTCAGTAACTGTACAGCTACAGCAGCTGCCAAACCTTGCTGAGCTACGGCAGATCCCTGACCCTGTGGAGCAGCAGCTGAATCCTGCTCCTGTTGTTTAGCCACAGCAGCTCGCAGACTCCTCACTGCTATGACAACCCCCCGAAGCTGCTCAGTTGGAGCCTCTTCCAGACTCTACTGAGTTACTGCAATGCCTAGTTGAACTGCAGAGGACTGTTGTTGTCAACACTGTGTTATAGCACACTCCTGTCAATCCTGAGCAGCTGCACATCCCGGACTCAGCCAGACTCCCTGAACTTTAGCAAGAATACCTATCCTTTATAAGACTGTTGCAGCAACTTCCTGGACGGTTACAGTCCCTTGCTCCTGCTGTTCCCCCTGTACGGTGGAAGCAGTCAGTTCCTGTCTCCGCTCAGCTGCCACACCGCCTGTACCTTGTGCAGCAGCTGCAACAACCAGCTGAGCTGGAGCGCCACACAGTATGTGCTGTGCCGCTGCAGCACAGTGCCTCCATGGCTCTATAGGCTCACCAGTTGGGCTCTCAGTTGTCGGCTATAGTCTGGCTGCCCAGTTGCAGCCCTATAATCTGGCTGCGCAGACTCCACCCTCCAGTCCTCTTGCCAGTCCTCAGCCTAGCAGCCCTTACTCTGGTTTTCTGTTCTGCTGCTTTGCTGCTGGCCTACTGGTCTATTCCTACCCTGCCTCCAGAGGGTTACTGTCTTTGCCGCCGACCGCCTGCTCAGCCTCCGACCTGTTGTGTCAATCTCCAGGTTGATCTCTGGGCCTGTCCAGCCCCCTCAGTCTTCGAGCTGCCCACCGGATGTTTTGCTCCAGTTCCTGCCTTGGGCTTCCTGCCTGCAATCCCTTGCTCTACCCCTACTCTGTCCCCTGCTCTGCACCTGGACTGTGTTCACTGAGACTCTGTTTTCACAAATGAACAACTGTGAGGTCCCTGTGCTGAATGGTCTACTCATTCATTTAAACAATACAATTTAACAGTGCCACAAACTGCAGTTTCCAAAAAGGCCAAACAGATGATTCAACACCTTACAAAACTGTTTCATCTAGAATGCAACATTATACCCCTCATAAGGGTAAGATATATCACATGAGACTGCATTAGCATTATTTTAACTGTGTGTGCCTAATAAACTGTCAAGTAAACTTGACAATCTATCCCTAATATGCCCTGTTACGTCATTTACTATTCATTGTTCAGTCTGCATTAACCGACTTTAGTAAATAAGGCGAGACTGCTGTTGTCCAATCTAGTGTCATTAATAAGATGTAAAAATTAGAACGTCTCATACTGTATTTAACTTTCCTAATTCCTTGCCCTCTCTATCACTTTTTGAGGGTGTGTAGCAATATGACCCAACTAATCTTATTTCACTTGCTTTGCACTCTCTGTATCCTCACAAGAGCTTATAACTCAATTTCCAGCTTCACCTCTCCACCCCCATCTGCAGCCAAAGTGTGCACACTTCAAAACAGCTTACAGCCAGGTTTTGTGGCCAAAGGCGACTATGTTATTGGGGGGATCTTCCCCCTTTACTTTAACCAGGAGATGCCAGACCTCAACTGCACCTACAGACCGCCACTAGTGAAGTGCAATGGGTGAGTTTAACAGATGTTGATTAGAAAACAAGTGGTAAGAATTGACTTACTGTCTCCAATTAAAGTCTTTTATGAAAAGATTACACATGATGTGTTATGAATATCAGAATACAGTGATAATTTATCCTGACATGTAAGAAAACATTCTTATATTTACAGTGATGCCTTATTGTATGCCTTATTTTACAGTAATGCTTTATTTTATGGGTGTATAATTTCCTAATAGTTTCCAAGACGTTTACTGGAAAGAAGTATGTAATTTGTTCTGGTTTACACAAGCAACTACAGTAACTGGAATTAATAACTTGGAAGTGCACCAGTTGAAAAGTGTATCCATATCCCCTAAAATGTGTTAGAAATTGTAACAGTCACTGGACTGACATATATCTAATATCTATTTTGATAATTTTGTGACATTTAATAAAGCATAACGTTATTACAGCGCAGTTATGTTGTGCTAAGTTATAGTTTTAACACAGCCGCACCGTAACTTTAGTCCTGCTAGTGTTTATAGCCAACAGCTGATGAGAGTTGTTCTGGGTCCACTTCAGAGCCCTGACAGAGTTCTACCGGGAGCTGTCTCCTCTCCAAGACAAGTGGACTGGGTCATTAAAACATTAAAACACAGCCACATAGCAATGTTAGCCCTGTGATGTGTTTACAGCTGACAGCTGATCCGGTCCGCCAGAGAACACAACTTAACTTTTACTTTTTATTTATCGACAGAGGCGTGCTGTTGTTTCACCGCTCCTCACTGGTGAACAACCTGCAGTGTTGCAGTAGATTATTATTAAATTTGTTACATTTTTAGATTATTATTAAATTTGTTAAATTTTAATAAGAGTGTGTTTTATTCATCTAGTGTGTCAAGCTACTTCAGTATATTCCCTGTAAATCTGATGTTAATATATAGATTTTACTCATGGATAGGCGTTAGGCTACTGTATGAATAAGCACTAGAGATATAGTGATAGTAATTATAATTATATTTATATGGCTGGTCTGGTTGTATACTCAGGAAAGATTGTGAAAATGGACGGATTTAGCGTAGTGGCTTAATTGAATATTGACAACATATTTCTGTGGTTTGAATTTGGTTGTGGCTCCATGGGACTTTATAGAAGCATGATAGAGAAAGATCAAGAGGTGAATTTGTGCATTATACTTTGTTAATTAGAGCAAGCCAGGCAGCCTTCTGTGTTTGAGAACTGCGCTGTTTAAAAATCGTAGGCTAGGCTGCAGCTCCGCAATAACCAGCCTAGTTAAAATGAACGAAATGACACAAAAAAAGATTAGTTCATTTAAATGAACGATATTTGGTGACTCGAGTGTTTCAAAAGAGTGACTTTTCCCATCACTAGTCTAAAATGACAAGAATAGGTCACATTTACTTAATGGCCTACAGGAGGTGCAAGAAACACTTGAACAGAATGAATGCATGTAACATTACAACAGTAGCCCGAAAAAAAAGAAGCAGACTGCAAGCCAGACCAGTTTAAATGGCGTTTCATGCCAGCAGTGGTTTTGTTGTTTTTCAAAACAACTAATGTGCTCAAAGCAACAACAGACACCCCTGGCAGGTATAATCCAGTATGCTTACTGTTACGATATTGAATTTCATTTTATTTCACTTAATTTCATTAATTTTAATTCATAATATCTATTGGTTGTCAAGCTCCAATACTATCTCCAGGAAGTGACTTTTAACATTGCCGGGGAGAAGGTGAACTTTGACCGAAAGGGCGACTCCAGACCTTATTATGATGTAATCAACTGGCAGAGAGGCACAGATGGGAACAATGAGTTTGTCAACGTGGGATTTTTTGATGGAACGAAGCCTGCCGGAAAGGAGCTGGTGATCCATGAGGACAGAATAATTTGGGCAGGACATCAGAGTGAGGCAAGCTGCTCACACTGTGTTTTTACCTTCATCAGATGCCAACTGTTAAAGTTCTGTAGGTTGAGGTGGAGGTAAATCAGAACAGGCGGGACAAGCTAGATCTGACCTGAGTTCCTTTACAGTTAACAGTAGAGATTCGAAGCCCCTCATCCAGTATGACATGTTTAAGGATTTAATACTTTACCATTGCATTCCTTATGGTGGAATTCATGCAGGGAGGTCCAGCGGGCGGCCCGAGGACTGAGCAGGGGAGCCAGGGAGGTCCGGGGGCTGGGCTAAGGGACGAGACGACCTCTCCAGAGGCCGGGGAGCAAGGCGAGACAAGCCAGTGAGTACGGGCGGCAGGCCCGAGGGACGCCCCAACAAACAAAAGCAGCGACACGTGACCTCTTCGCTCTTCCCTTGCACTCCGGCACGCGCTCAGCGTGCTCCGTCTCCCAGCAATGCCCTAAGAAGTCCAGCCCGGCTTGCTGCGAAAACTCTTTTGGTCTTTTCAAGCCACACACGCGAAGCGCCGTGACTTCGGCTTTTCCCACATTTCCAGCATTTTATTTTCTTTTGTTATGTTTGTTAAAGGTCAGACCGTTAAGTTACACAATTTAAATTCAAGAATGACCAAGTTCTTTTAAGCTTTATTCCAATGAGCTACCTTACACTGCTCCCACTGAAGCCCGGACCCAGCCATGTGGGCCCGTCTTGCCAGCAGTAACCCAAAGGACTTCCAAACCAGAACAGCCTAAGGGTATTTCTTTGATGTGCATTTAATTGCATTTATTTCACCTTAGTTATCTAATAAATTTCACCATAATCACAGGAACTGTGTGTGTGTATTGTCTAACTCCAAGTCCCTGTCACGTAGGACCTACTCCTTCGATATGAGATTGACTGATTGATTAAAGATAATTGAGCGATTATTAACTGATCATTAACTGATCATTAACTGATCATTAACTGATCACTAGTGAATAATTGTATAATTATTAAAACGTTACCCAGAGGTCCGGAGACTCTGGGCGAAATATTAATTTTCATAATTTTATCAAAATAATACGTAGACCTGCTACATTTAAATGCATCATACTTTTACTCTTACTTCAGTAAATTTTTAGAGAAAAATCTGTACTTTTACTCTGCTACATTTGAATACATTCATCGTGCTACTTCGCTGCTTATTTATTTACCGCTGTCACGCATCCAAATGACTTGGAGCAGAATAATGGCTGAAGCTTATGGAAGTATGGCTTTCAAATAGCGCTTGCATCTAATATTTAGGCTACAGATTAAAATTTAGCACACCATGGAGCCAGCCTTGTCTCATCCCAGGGTTGTCCAATACCGACGCTCTGTCAGGCTTTCTCGCCCTGAGGCCCTGAGATGGGACCGTGTTAGTGCAGTGGGTTTCATGTGGGCAGAGGGGCCGGCTGGGGCGGTGGAGCGGGAGGCTAGAGGACAGCAAAAGGCACCGCGCTGGCAGTGGCCGCTGGGCTTCTGTGCCACTGATGACTCCCCCTCCAGCCACGCCAAGTTAAGACCACGGTTGAGGCCCAGTGCATAGACACAGCTTTTTCAGTGCTGCGCATGTACGCAAAGGGTAAACCTTATTATAGCGATAGCCTTGTGAAGCCTATACAAAATAGAACCAAGAGAGCAGTCTCAACAATGGTGTAGCTTTGCTCTGCTGGCCATTCAGCTCTACACCTTATGGCTGGGCTTTATGCACATTTAACAATGAGGAAAGTTGTCATGTTGAACTCAAGCCTCAGGAAACCAAAGAACACCAAAGACATTTTGTCCATGAATCTGTGGATTTTATTCTTTGATTAACTGTATTGAATGTTTTTGCTTAATTAAATATATTGGTTGATATGATGGTATATTATATGTTACGAGTGGAAAAAATACTACAGTATTCCAATATAAGTAAAAGCATAGATGTTTCATGGAAAAACGCCTAAAAAAATAACATAGCCAAAATGAATCAGGAATAACTCCACAACCATTAGGCCTAGATGCATCTGGTCTATTTTTTATAGGTCATAAAGTAAGGAATATGAATCCATTGTAAATTAACCCATTTATCTTTCCGTTACAGACTAAATGGAGATGCAATTAAGGAAAAAATTATATTTTCATCCTTGCCTGGTATAAAATCTATATAAGGCAATATCACTGTCAAAACCATCATCTTGCAGATTATAATGCATCTAAATATCTTCTACTACACCTGTACTACAACTGTAATTGTAAATATGATGAATAGAAACTAAAATACAACAGTTATTGTGCAATATTTTTAAAATATACAAGGGCAAATGTCCATGTTTTGGCCATATTAACTGTTTATATGTTGACTGTTACTGGGAGTTTTCTTCAAAACAGTATTTATGTCCACACCACCACGTTTCAAATAACATAAAGTTTCCAAAACATTGAAATATTGAGAAATACAGTGAATATTTATCAATAGTCCTATGACCGAAAGAACTCCCATGCTTTACAGGCCTTGAGAACAGAACATCCCACAGTCATGTATGTGGTCTCTATCGATTTGTCTCGAGCAGACGAATTGTTTGACATATGCATGTCTGTGTAACTACTACGAGTCGGCTACCAGACAGCGATAAAGGCCGTGTGTTTCAAAGCAACATTTCCTCTGCAGCAGTCAAAGCTGAAAAAAAGCTGGCAGAGCTCAGAGAGGTTTTTGCCCAACACAAAGATGGCGGCGTGGAAGCAGATTTTGCAGGCTTTTGAGCTATTTTTGGACTAAAAACAGTGAAAACTGCAAAAGTCAGCGGTTGTAATTGTTAGTACTATATGATAATTGTTATCTGGCTAATTAGTCGATGTGAGTGATATGAGTCACACAGCTGATCGCAGCTGGAGCTGAGCTTTGATTAGAGTAGTCAGTCATGTAGTACGATGAGATGAGAGATATCTGGATGGCAACAATTGCAGGCATGTGCAGTGTTCACAGAGCGATATACTGTATGTTGTGATTTAAGCTCATGTAGATGCTTGGTGTTTGATGTGTGTTTGGTTAGGATAAAAATGGTTGGTTTGAGATTCTGGCTGAGCTTCCTAGCTTCACGGATGTGTGTTGCATGGATAGGGTGATGTAATACTAGATTCGGAAATGATATTCATCAAAAACGTATTGCGTGAAAATCTTTCACTGCCCCCTGAACCAGGGGTGGCAGGGCTTAAAGTATTACAAAATTAGAATGCCTTTGCCACCATATTATTTTAAGATTTCAGAAGGATTATGGTGCCGCTTTCCCCATCATATTCTTTTTTGTATTTTTCTCTGGTTTCAGTAAGATCATATAACATTTTGGAATAAAAATACAAATGAGCAGTCCAAAACTTGAAGCCAGAATAGCAAATATCTCCACAGCAACACTGAACTTCCCAGGAGAGCTAACATATGCTGGGATAAAAGCGATCCATACTGCGCAGAATATCAGCATGCTAAAGGTGATAAATTTGGCTTCATTGAAATTATCAGGCAATTTCCGAGCCAAAAAAGCAAGAATAAAACATAAAATGGCCAGAAGTCCTATGTAACCAAGTACAGCCCAAAAGCCTACAGCTGAACCCAGAGCACACTCTAAGATGATTTTGTCTTTGAACTCCTTAACATTCTTAAATGGAAAAGGAGGAGAAATTGTTAACCAGAGGATACATATTATGACTTGTATAAGAGTGAAACCCAGAACACTGAGCTTCTGCTGTGCAGGACCAAACCATTTCATCACATTACTACCTGGAAGTGTAGCCCTGAAGGCCATTAACACCACTATTGTTTTCCCCAGAACACAAGAAATACAGAGGACAAAAGTGATGCCGAATACTGTGTGTCGCAGCATGCAAGACCACTCAGAGGGCCGACCGATGAATGTCAGAGAACACAGGAAACACAGGGTCAAGGAGAAGAGCAGCAGGAAGCTCAGCTCAGAGTTGTTGGCCCTGACAATAGGAGTCTGCCTGTAGTGGAAGAAAATAATTGCCACAACAGCAGTCATACATGTTCCAAATAGGGAGGCAACAGTGAGCAGTGCTCCCATAATCTCTTCATATGACAGAAACTCTGACTCCTTCTTTACACAGGCATTTCTTTGCTCATTTGACCAGAACTCAGAGTGGCATCTCACACATGTGATAGAATCTGAAAAATAATATTGAAGCAAGTGTTAGAATAGCTCAGTACATTTGTATTTTTTGTGTCTATGTTGCATCTTTTCTGTGCCTACAAGACAGACACTACAAGATAAGATTATGATATTATGATTACCAGATAATAAATGGATAACATTATGACAGCTGCATGGTTTGTTCATGAAATATTTGAATCTTACATGCAAAAGATACAGCATAATTTCTTTAATTGCTTTTTTAATACCTACGCATATATTTTGTTTCTTGAAAGATATTGTTGTAAAGTATGTTGCGTTTTTCAAATGGAAATGTTCAATCCCGTAGCAAGACAATAATGTAATTTGCAGTTTGAGTTAGCTGACCCCTTGTTGACCATTTCTAACTTGTTACCCATAATTATTCTGATATATATATATAATAATAAAAACATTAACCAGAAAGTACTTTATAATTGACCTAGTATTTAATCATTTCTGACCTTGTGACTTATAGTGGTTGTACCAAATAATACACTGATGCTGATAATGCATGCCACTATCCCTCTCTTCCCCTCCCACTGATATGACACAACAGGCCCTATTTTGGACCTGACCAAAGTGCAGCGCAAGTTTCATTGCTAGTTTCCAACCGACGTAGATGTCATTTTCACACCCAGTACTGATGTTCAGACAAATTGTTGGGGCATTGCTATCTTGAGGCAGCGGAAAGACCCCCAAAAAACATGTCTAAAGTCCATTGACCATTGAATGAAATGCTGTGTGCTTAGATCGTTAAAATAATCCCAATAAGTCTGAGAATGAATGGGCTGAAAGCAGCACAGACTGTCCCAATCTCCCCAGGGATTTTCAGAATTGTTCTATGTACAATGAAACTGGAGAAATTGTAAACACACTTTAGTTGCATAAATATTTCACATTGGTGCTTTAACTTTGATATGCATTTCCAAGACTGTTCATACCTTTATGTACCTACTTTCATACTTATGAATCAGTTTAGGATATTTGGTTTGCTAAAAAAACTACATATATGTGCCCTGTAGGAAATCCCCCATGCTTTTCGAATCAGATAAAAACTATGCCATTTCTTCAAATTTAACGACATGACAACTTATAGACTTTTGTTTTGTCTTGCATTCATTATTACTACACCTGTAATGTTGCTAATTTCTCCCTCTGCACATCTTAAACAGTCATAGCAGCAAACAGGCTTTCCTTTCTGGAGAATCTTGTGAGTTCCTGGGGGACATTTCTCACTGCAAACTGACAAAGGCACCTGCATGAACAAAACAAGTATGATTAAAGTGTATGGGCATTCACTTTGACATTGTGTTATCTTTGCAAGCATCTATAATAAAATTTATATGAATATAACAATTCAAATAGACCATTAACAATTACAGTAATCACATGGTAACTTACCTGTTTTGAGTTCTGTGCCCAAATGATAGACTTATTTCGCAGATTCAGCTGTTTGTCTGCAGGTAAAGACGCATCATGAAAACCAACTGTGACAAAGTCCACAATGCCATTTTCTTTTGGCTGCCAGTTTATAATTTCATACTTTGCAGCTGGGTCTCCATTCTCATTAAAGTAAACCTCATCCCCTTCCTTTGTTTTGAACTGAATCTTTCTTATATGCTGTAAAATCTAAGATTTGCATAAATGTATTAACGCATTATCTGATAAACATTGTTGTCATATAATATATATAATGTATATGTTACATAATATATACATACATATATACGTAATGTCTCGACAGCATGATAGACAGACTGCACAATTTGTTTTTTTAAATATTTAATTTTTTTGTAAATGTGACTTTATGTAAAAACAACAACTTTGGTCTTCAACTCACCGTGATTGGATCTAGCTGCACAGTGCTGTTGCATGTTTTATCACAGTTGAGAATATTATGAAGTGCGTGGGCAACAGCATACACTCCTTTATAGACATTATTAAATATAGGCATTAGCGACATGTCAGTGAAGCTGTTTTGCACTCCTGTCAGATCTTCATGTCCAGTACATTCTCTGTGATTCCCTGCTGATGACTTGGAATGGTTGAACTTGCAGCTAAATAATTCCTCCCAAAACTCTGTAAAAATGTAATTACTAGATGAATTGAGCGGCCTCACATCCAACATGAACTCTTTCATGCCACTGACATGTGCTCTGGGAATGGACAGGCCTATGGCACCATCCAGAATGTGATGCCTATCCATGGCTGCAGTTTGGGAATCAAAGATCCAGCCCTCACTGCCTACCCACTGGTACCCAGTCATGTTGTGGTGAGACAATGCATGTATTAGCACATCCATATCCGAGGGGGACAGGAAAGCAACAATCACCTTGGAAGTGGAAGCCTTGATAATGTCAACTATGTTTTGTATTTTGTCTGGTGCATCTGTTCTAAATACAGATACAGAGTACTCTAAACAGATGCCCAGCTGCTGGGCAGTTTCTGTGAATGTGGCCATGCCATTATTCCCGTAATCATCATTTGTTCTAATAGCTCCAACCCAAGTCCAGCCAAAGTGCTTGACCAATTGTGCCAGGGCTCTGCTCTGGTAGTAGTCACTGGGTACTGTTCTGAGGAAGGATGGGTACTTGATTTTATCGCTGAGACAAGCACAAGTAGCAAAGTGGCTGATCTAAAATAAATAAGAAATCATATCCAAAGATGAAGATGTAAAATATAAAACATTTACACAGCACACTACAATTAATTTAATACAACATGACTAGCTGGAAGAATCAAAGAATTATACTTAATTTTCACAAATTAAATTTTTTCCTGTCTTACTCACCAGTGGGATGTGAAAGGGTCCAATGACCGTAGCTATAGCTGTGCAAGGAGAGGAAGAGGTCTCTCCCATAATGGCCTGCACTTGGGCAGGTCTAGTACATGGTGCCTCGGAGGATGCGGATACTATTTCATTACCATTAGCCAAGGCCAGTGCAACCCTCACACATCTGGCAATGGAGCCACATACATCATAGATCTTATAACCCAAAGATTTGCCAGGCAGTAGATCTGTGCTGTTATTAATCTCTTCTATGGCAAAGAGCATGGCCTGGGCATATTGGAACTCTCTGAAATGCAAACTTTATGCAGAAAGTTATAAACTGTTGGAATTGCCAACAAATTGTCCTTGAAATAAAAAGAGTAATGTAGTAAATTAAAGCATTTGGTTTTTCAATAAACACAACAAGGAATATTTCTTACTTTATAGTTTGATAACCTTTTTTGTACCTTTTTTATCATACCTCATCTTAGTTATTTTAAATCTAAAAACATTTCTATGGTATATTTACCTGGTGCATTCCAGTGACAGTGGTTTGTGCATGTAGGTATCCTGTCTATCTCTCCAAGTGCTGTGGAAAGAGAACATCCCCCCCAAAATAATGTCTCCATCCTTAGATAGCTGGGGGTTCTCAGGATCCCCTCTCTGCTTGCACTCCATCTCCTCAGCCTGAGAGACAGACACCATTAACAACAGCTGTAAGAGTGCCCAGCCCTGCTCTGGCCACCTCTGTGTTAATGTCATATTGTCGAAGAGAGCTAAACCACTAACCCTAACTCTACCTTGATGTAAATTCTCAGCTTGCCCTGGTATTTATACATTTTGGAGCAGTAGGAAAAATAATAATAGAACTGTGATGTTTTACCTCTGTGGACCAACAAGGTGAGGCAAGAGGAGGGAGGTTCCCAAAATGTAAAAGAGTTTTGGGCATTTGTGTATTTTAAATATATTTTAAAAAATGTATTACATATATCTGTCAACAGATAAGAACATGCTTTTTGTTGTACAAAGGGTTTCCCTTTTTCCATCATTAATATTTAAAATGTATGGAGGGCACAATTGAACTCCTAATTATTATTATTTTATTTTATTAAAATTTTCACGAACATAGATATCAAACACATTAAGGACATCTTAAAAAGAAAAAAAACACTCCTGAGGTTGTGGTAGAAGCCTATAATGGATTATATGAATAACCATACCCAGAAGACATGCATATGGTAAAGATAAAAATACAAAATCACAAATACATTTTAAATATTTGTAATAGTAAATATTGCAAGTAAAAATAAATATGAAATAGAGATCCCCCAAAATACAGAGAAGCAGGAGTAGTTATCTAATGTATAGAATGAACTGCCGTTTTTTAGGAGTAACCATTTTTCTTTTAACTCAAATGTTTTTTGACAGCAGGGCATTTCTAAGTCTGTTTTTGTACCCAAACAACGGCACAGAGAAATCCATTAAATGCACATTTTCATTCCGCAAGATAACTCCATGATATTTAATAGAAAACTGACCATGTGATGTTTTATACAGAGGAAGATGAAGATTCTTAGCTTGTCTAGTTTGATAATTATGGAACTGGGAATTATTAACAAAGTAATATCTAAAACTCTGTGGTAAATCTGTATTCATGTATCTCACTTTAAAAACAAATATTCAACATTGTTGATGTCAAAAATAGTCAACACCTTCAGTTAAAAAAAAAGAGAGGTGCACTTGGTACAAAAGGTTTGGAAAGAGTTGTTAATCTCTTTCCAAACTGGAGCAGCAATATATTGTGAAGATAAGTTTGAAAAGTTCTTGCCCATGCAATATGTTAAATATCGATAAATTAAACTATACTATAATGTTAATAAATATGTGCTGTGTACAAAACATTTTATTTTTCTCATCTCTCAAGAGATTTAATAATCTTATTGCAGACAAAACCAACTTGTTCTCTCCAAGAGAGTTTATCGTCAATGCAGATACCTAAAAAACATGTTGATGAAGCTTTGATTAAGTCTTCATTTTGAAAATGGAGTTTAATTAGCTCACTGTCATATTATTATTATTTCCTGCAAAAAAAATGAAATTAGATTTTTTGATAATTACTTACAACTTATTTATTTAAAACCATAAACAGTAATAATAAAGATCATGATTTCTTTCTCTACAAAGAGCTGTTAGATCTCTATTTTAGACCAATAGGTTGGTGTCATCTGCAAACCAAAGGGAATGTGGTTTTAGATACTACAGCAGGATGATTTATATAAATAAGAAATAGTAAAGGTCCTAATATAGATCCTTGAGGTACACCATACATTATTTTATTACTTTTCGACTCTTGACTATTTGTAAAAACATATTGCTCTCCAGGGGTGTACTGTGGCTGAAATTCAGCCCAGAACTTTGAGACAGAGAGGCCATTTATGCGAGTGCCCTTGGGGGTGTGCAGAAATATTTTTTGCAGTTATTTTAATACATATTAGTGTTTTTGTTATATACAGTCAATCAGATTACGCTGAAGACATTCAAGAAACTTCAGGATGACGCCTGCCTCCTCATTTTGTATAAGCAAGGCAGCTCTGCACTGAACAAGACCAGGTCAGGCAAGCCTGAGTCAGTCAGAGTGCTAAAATTTTTAAATATACTCAAAAACTACAAAGCATTCCCATAAAATAGAGCAATGTGTGTATGTGTGTGTGCAATGAAATCAAAACCCTCATCTTCAGGTCTGAGTAGGCCTCTCCCAGGATGAGATTTCACTGTGCTGGCCCCCACTCTGCTTTTACTGATTGTACAGCTACGTATGCAGGAGAAAAAACATCAGTAGTAAATATGACTAACAATAATCCATTTTCTAATTCTATCTATGCATACTTTGATTTCCTAACCAGCCTTGCACAGTTCTGTTTCTTCTCTCCCTCCTTATCAACATGATGTCATCACCCTGTCACTCTCCGTCACTATAACCAACCAATATACATAAAAATGTACAGAGATTCCTTACTTCTAGAATTTCAGTTTATAATAAATGCATTAGTCTTTTAATTGTGCACCTGTCTCTGCCTGTGCAGGGTCCTGCCTCACCTGCTACAGCAACCTTTCTGCCAAGTCAATAGTTAATTATGTGCATTTAGCTGCCTCTTGTGCCAACATTTTTTTCTTCTTAATTCTTATTTCTTCTGCACCACTCATTTCTTTTTCCTCTTTCTCTTTTTTGCCACAGTTGCCATCTCTGTTGCGCTTATCACACAACCCAGCGCTGAGTTTGGAGATTAAACTCACCCCAGATGGAAAGTAAACACCCCAGATGGATAGTAAACTCCTTTGATCGTGCCATTGAGCCAATCAGATTTCAGCAAAAATGAGGATCAGTCCAAGTTGGGAGGGGCCGCTCGTATCCCCCCTCCATATCTAAAGTATTGGTTTGGCCCGGTCTGGCAGCGTTCACTGCAGCTGACCTGCAGGGTGGATCATAAAGTAAAACATTAGAAACTGAAATATAGCCTGAAAACTACTGACACCCGGCCGGTTTGCTCTCTATGAACAACACAGTTAACAAGCCACTTATAAACTTTACCATGGCATCCATATCTATATATTTTTGAAAGCAAAATAGCATGGTTAACAGTAGTTCAGTAAGTAAAAGTGACATAATAGTAGAATGAATCCATACTGATGATTATAGAGAATATTGTATGTGTTTAAGTGTTTCATGATTCTATTGTACTCTAGTTTTTCCAATATCTTTGAAAAACAAGGCAATTGGACAATAGTTTGTAAAGGATCCTAGATCACCTGTTTTAAATAGTGGAATAACTTCAGCCAGTTTCAGATCAGAAGGTATTAAGCCACTTTCCATTGATGATGCAAATATAAATGTTAACGGCTCAATACTATGAGTAATGACTTCTCTGATTAGGGAGGAGCAAATTCCATCATGACCTGGAGCCGTCTAATATAATATCATTCACCTCCTTAGTGTCAGGCAGATCAAAGTTATTAAAAGATGGGAAACTACCCTTTATATAATCTATCTGATTAACTTCTGTATCAGTTATCTTTTTGGCAAGAGATGCACCAAAAAAGACCAACAAAGACACCAACAAAGAGTTGTCAAAGTCATTAAGCCTACAAGCTATATAAAAATGGATCGGTGAAAGTAGAATATCCATCTGTTGGCATTTGTAAACTGTTCACTGAAACAACTTTTTTTTGGCTACTCTAAGGAGATAAATGTATTTATTTATGTAATTATACAGTAACAAATAATTCAGGAGAAAATTAGACTTATTAGGCACACTAAAATGCCCCACAATAGAATGTCAATCTTATTTAAAAAAGCATTCACTGATATTTTGTTTTGTTTTGTTGTGTTCTATTTTTTAGGCCACCTGTGGATCTAAGGAAGCCAAGGCACCAGTGACCCGTGTTTCCATCCAGGGAGTCAAGTGGACACTAGGGCTGACCCCGAATAATCTAAGATTCGATGCTTCGATGGGCAGAGCCTGATTCGACTGTCAGTCTCACAGTCGAAGCTTCGCAGCGAAACAAGGATCATGCCATTTTGGCGATATGGGGGTGCTCAACGTCTGATTTTACATAGAGCTACTAGTTTTCTCCCAATAAGTTAATATACAGCCTATTACAATACACATTTCAACTTTTAACCCCCTGAGGTCAGCTTGGTGTTTACTAAATGTTTCTATTAATATCTCTGCGATCATGTAGCACACAGAAAAGGTTCAGATATTGCCTTAATCGAGAGATTATCAGCTTCAAAGTCCTTATCCACGCGAGATCATACGTGACTCACACAGCGAGCTAGGGGGAAGACAAGATGGCCTTTCACCTTGCGTAATTGGTGGGTTAGCCTGTCTGTCTGCATTTTGTATGAAGCTAACCAATAGACGCTCTCAAAATCACTTCACCTCACAGTGGGGAAAATACCAATCTGACATAAAGAGAGAAAGGGGAGAAAAGTCTGCGAGAAAAACATGGAAAAAACATGTATAAAGAAGAGGAAAAAATAAGAAGAAGACGAGGACAGAAAATGGCGAAGACGCCTATATTGAAAGACGTTCTTGCAGCGGTTTTGGAGAGCAGTGACGAGGATGAGAGACGAGTTTCTGAGCCTGACTGTTTTGATTCTTACGATGAAGAGGATTAACATTACCTACACAAAAGAGATCCATTTGACGACGGGTAAGCGTATTTATTTTATAAAACCTTGTTTGCAATGGTGCACTTAGTGCTTGGCTAACTGTAACCATCTTGGCTAAAATAAGCTGCGTCTGTGCTGCTTTGTGTTTCACTAAGTTGTCGTGAACTTTGACAAATTGACTTCCCCTTTAGTTTACTTTTTGTAAAAGTTATTTTCTTGTGTAAAACTGGGATACACTTACAAATCGTAACATTTTAGGCATGTAGGCTGTTCTAGGTGATCTCCTTTTGATAACTTATGTAATATATCTTCACCTCCATTCACAATTTGAATAACATTATCTCTTGTAGTGATGACTAAATGTGTTTTGGCCGCTGACTATTTTATCATAGTACTTCTACAGATGTGGTCTTTCATATCATTTATCATCATCTATTTATGTTCAGTATATTTATACTGGATGAGTGTAAATAGAAGAGACAATATTCCCACATCTCATTCAGATGTTACTTGCTTTGATTTGGGGTGGACAGGGCTGGCAGCACAGATAATAAATTGGAATAGACACAGAGAAGATTAGCAGAAGGAAAATCTGTCAAATCTGTCATCCTCCACATTCTTGTTAGGTGTAAAGTGATGTGTGTGTGTGAGGGGGACCTAAAGGAAGACCAGAGAAGATGTGTAAACTTTCTTTCAATGAAGTCCTAATTTTTTAAAGTTTTTTTGAGAGGATTCCCAGCTGCCCAGGGCCCAGTGAAACACAGGCAGCATGACCTGTGCCTGCCTCCAGGTCACCACCAGGACCCCAACAGCATCCTGCACCCCCATCTACTCAGCAGCCAGCTCCACTGTCTTGGAGCTGAAGATGAACAAAGACCCAGCCATCACTCTCCATCTCCAGATTTCAACCAGCTCGGACACAGGGCTATAGCTCATAACATAACATGCAAGTTATGTAAATAGTGGGGCTTTTCTGTGTTTTTTAATACATAGTTAGTCTTTATATATAAATATTGTTTAAAAGTTAAAACATGACAATTTGTACATTTTGTAAATATTGTCAGTAGTGCGTTTTATTTCTGTGTGGCTTTTATACACATAGTAAACATTTTGCTTGAAAGAAAGACCTGTTGTAATGCTTATTTTTTATTTGCACACATCCCCATGAAGCTTGATGTGTTGTAGGAAGTTATTATACAGTCCTGTTTTATTTAAGTCCCTCTAACATTAGGTGAAAGTAGAGTCACAGTCAACACTTGTACTCAAAAAACGATTATTCAAAATGTCACTTTAGACAATTATTATGCATTATCTACAATTTTATTCATATATGTCACTACTTTTGTGACCCCAAGACTTTGGTAAATCCATTTCAAGCACCAAAAGAATTCATCCACATGACTATGTTTCCATAAGAGATTTGAAGAATTTCAAAAATCTTTTTCAACTTTAGAGCCACATTATCTCTCTCTCTCTTTACACAATGCTCTAGGACAAGTGGTAAGCTCATTATAAAGAGAGCGGGGGGTTTTATGCACATTTTGATATAAAACACATGGTATCATGTTATGCAATTGCCTTTAAGAAGATGAATTTAAGAAGATGTGTAAAATCAAAGAATATGTGAAAAAATGCCCTTAGACCTCAGAGGGTTAATGCTGTAAATAAACATGTAAAAAGAACAAAACTTTCAAGAAACATTTTTAAAAGTGCGTGAATAAATCCAAAATTGTAACCCTAACCCTGGATCATTAGTGCGCATGTGTAGGCGTAGCATGTGTGTGTGTGTGTGTGGTGGTGCTGAAGAGACTGGGCCTCAGCTTCACTGGTGTTATGCCGAGTTGTCCGCACCTTGCGGGACTTTCGGATTTATCACTGTTGATGAACCACACAAAGAATATTTAATTTTTTATAAATAGCCGGCTACTTGAAATAGACCCACGAGGAACCGCAACGTGCATGTAGTTGTCAGGAGCACGGCATGCACATAAAACTCACACAAGACCGGTGAATGGCAGGCGAGAGAAAGAGAGAGAGAGCGAAAAGGGTCTTCTGGAAATTTACAGTGTAAGTTGAATGAATAGAGACTGCAATTCTGAAGCTTCTCAAGATTAAAGCGGAGCTAGCGTGTGTTCTGGGGCAGCAGGTTAAGGGTAGCGGAGGCCAACAGACTCAACAAACTGATCCATCCATCAATCATCTATCAATATTATCTGTTTTAATACTTAATTTTTTTTTGTCTTTATATTTTATATTTATATATTTCTTTATTAACCAACTTTCTATTATTCTTCTTATTCCCTGTTGCTTTGATGTGCATTGTGTATATCTTTATTTTTGCAACTGTGACACAATAGTTTCCCCTCTGATTCTGATTCTGATTCAGAAATTTCTGACATTCTAAGCATTGGCAAATAACCTTGTGATCATGAAAAATAGATATGAATGTTTTTTAAATACACTTAGTGTTATTCTGAATAACATTTAACAAGGGTACATTCATATCAGTCACAATAAAAATAAATTATTAGCTTTATTCTTGAATATATGTAATATAAGGGCATAGGTGCTGCATTTTGTTTGCTTCTTTTGAAACCTTATATGTCTTTGACCCAATTATATGATTTAATTACAGACCAAACAGATTGTATCTTTAATTTGGAGTCATGTTTGTGTCTACCTGATGAATAAGTTAAATATTTACTCATCTTTTGGCTATGTTTTTTTCTCCACCATGTTCACCAGCTAGTTGCTAACTTTGTCTAACATTTGGTTCTGGGTAGGTAGCATACAGTGAGTTTTTATATTTTTTTGGCTGACTACAGCCTGTTGCGGCTGACAGTAGTGAAAGTGAATGAAAACTTTAAAGTTGAATTACACATATATTTGTCAATTTAATATATCAGTTTGTTTTAAAAATGTTGAAAAATAAGACTCTGAAAATACATAGTAAGAAAGACCACAAACCCAAATGTCGCGTATGTGGCGTCTGTTTCTCTCAGTGACTGCAACCACCTTTTGTATTAGGCTGTAAACGTGTTTTTTACTGCTGTAAAGTTGGACATTTTAACATGGGTGTCAATGGGGATTGACTCCCTTTTGGTGCCAGCCTCAAGTGGCCACTCGATGAAATGCAGTTTTAGCTACATCTGGTTTGGCCTCATTTTTGAGAACCAGATGTTGCCGCTTGGTGGCACCGTGGAAATGTGTATGTCGGGGTGGTAACCATGCAACTATGTTATTGAACTTTAGTAGGGCCTACATGTGGACTAGCTAGCACCTTCAATTGACACTGACACGTATGTACGAGCTTAGCATGTCATGCATTCTGTTTCACAACATCTCTCTCACTAACTTGTCATCAATCATAACGATTCATGCAGAACGAGTTTAACATTTAGAAAGTTTGCTGTATCACCACGTCAACCCTTTTTAAAATCCAGCCTGATTGGTCGGTTCACAAAAACTGACATTGACAAGCAACTTTATGCACACGCTTGGATAAAAAAACCAACGGGGTCTCCAGAACGCTTACCACCTCATCCGCACCTGCAACGGAAATGAGTGAAAGGCCAACTTTAACACCCCACTAGGACACACACAAGTACCTGGTCATACCTTTTGGACTCACCAATGCCCAGTGGTTATTAACATCCTCAGAAACATGCTCAACCAGTTCATTTTCTTTTACCTTGACGACATTCAGGTTTTTTTTCCCCCGGAAACAGGAGGGGCATGTGCAACATGTCAGGTTGGTGCTACAACGTTTGTTGGAGAACAAGTTATTTGTGAAAGCTGAGAAATGTGGATATCAGATACCTTTAGTGAATTTCCTAGTCTTCATTATTGAGCAGGGTCAGACCAGACAGGGGAAAAGTCAAAGCGGTGACAGATTGGCTAACCCCCATCTCATAGAAGCAAATGCAGTGGTTCCTGGGGTTTACAAACTTTTACTGCCTCTTCCTCCGGGACTACAGTAAAGTGGCCGTTCCCCTTACTCAGATTACCTCTCCTGCTACTTCGTTCGTCTGGATAGATAAGGTAAACCAAGCTTTCTGCAAACTGAAACAAATGTTTATCACTGCACCTGTGCTAACTCACCCTCACTCCTCACTTCACTTTGTAGTTGAACCTGTGATGGGGCTGTACTTTCACAATGCTTACACAAGGACAGTAAGTTAAACACCTGCGCCTTTTTCTTTAACTATGATGTGGAAAATTTTGACTTATTGGCTGTGGTGTTGGCATTTGAGGAATGGAGACACTAGCTGGAGACAGTAGAGCAGACTTTTGTTGTTTGGACGGACCACAAGAACTTAGTTTACCTTAAGTCTACTAAGTGGCTGAACTCGCCAGGCTTGGTCGTCTCTTTTTTTTGTGGTAACACTGTTATCTTAGTTGACAGATTTCCCAAGACTGTTCACTTTGTCCCCCTGACTAAGTTATCCTATGGCTCTGAAACGGCAGAATTATGCATGTGCAGCATGTGTGCAGGATTCATGGCATTCCTCTGGATATTGTGTCAGATTGTGACATGATGTAACAACTTGACTGTGTAGAGTATGCCCATACTCCCTCTCCTGTGCGGCTACATGTATGGCAACTTTTATGGTTATGCTGGATTATGAACCTCATCCCAGATCAGGAAGAAGAGATGACAGTTCCTTCTGTTATAACTAACATCCACCGGTGGTTTTCATCTTTGAGGTTTAGTCAGGCAAAGCTTTTTCCTCAAATCTTATGAAATGTGATCAGGCAAAAAAGGCAAAAATAAAGTAAGAATATGTTTTACACAAACATTTTTATTGTTCTTAGCTTCTTCTACATTTACTCTTCACAATGAGAACATTTCTGAATTTAAAGAAACACTTTACACTTTTTGGACATTTTAAAGTGTAACTTATTTTTCAACATGGATATTTTTGTGCCTAAGTGTATAATGCAGACAACATTTTTTAAAAATAGTTAGGTACTGAGCAAGTAAAGCTGCAGTTGGCTGCAATGAAATCCTTGCAGGCAATTGCATACCGCCAATGCATGTCACACATGTCTCACAACATTATGGAAAGGATCCCTACAGAGATTTTTGTTTAACCAGAAACAATAGCTAAATTACTTTGTTCAACACCACCAGACTCCCTTACCAAAAAAAAATATTTTAGCTTGCAGAACATAGGAGTTGCAGGTGTACCGCTTGAGGTAATATTAACAGTTTTTGTCAAGGAGTCTGGTGGCTTTGAACAGAGCGATGTAGCAGCTGTTTCTGTTTAAACAAAAAAAATATAAAAGAAAAGGTCTATCCCTGTAGGAATCCTTTCCATAATGTTGTCAGCCTGACGGTGGCAAAAAAAAGCTCTTTGGGGTGCACATTTGCCCACAAAGATTACATTGCAACCGTGTTCTGCTGATACACAATGAAAGAGAAAACAGGTTTAAAAATACACAAGTAACCCTTAAAGGGAATATCTCTACTGAATGAATATAAAATACATATTGGCTCACAGTAGTTGACCATGTTGCGGTTATTTTATAACTTGGTGCCTCGACCCATTATAGCTTTCTTTGTGTTCCTCTCTGGTCTCATCAGGATTATGTAACATTTGGGTCCAAACAGTGCCACTAAGAGACCAAAACTGGAGGCCAGGATGGCAAATACCTCCACTGCATCTGCATATTTGCCTGGAGAGTTTACATAAGCTGGGACAAAGGCCACCCACACAGCACAGAAGATCAGCATGCTGAAAGTGATAAGTTTGGCTTCATTGAAGTTGTCTGGAAGATTTCTTGCCAGAAATGCTAACAGGAAGCTAAGGATAGCCAGTAAGCCAATGTAACCCAGTAACACTGCAAAACCAACTGTGGAACCTACAACACACTCATAAACTATCTTGTCATTGTGGTATTGAGTGTTTTTATGAGGAGCTGGTGAGGAAGAAACAAGCCAGGCAGTGCAAATTGCTGCCTGGATAAAAGTAAGAAACATAACTGTCCCTCTCTGCTGCATAGCACCAAACCACTTCAGACTGGTTCCACCTCCTGGCTTGGAGGCCTTGAACACAGCCAGAACCACCATAGTTTTCACCAGAATACATGAAACACAAAGCACAAAGCTGATCCCAAATGCTGCGTGTCTCAGCTGGCATGTCCACAGCCTGGGACGTCCAATAAACAGCAGTGAGCAAAGGAAACATAGTTTAAGTGACACCAAGAGCAGGAAACTCAGTTCTGAATTGTTGGCGCGAACCATGGGTGTGCTGCGATGGTAGGTGAAGATGACCAGGACAGCAGCACAGATAAGTGTGCCCAGCAATGAGGCGGTTGTCAAGCAGATCCCTAGAGGCTCATGGTAGGAGAGGAACTCTGTTTTCTTAGGAACACAGTGATCATGCTGGGGGCTGGACCAGAAGTCCTCTGGACAACTGATGCACTCCATGGAATCTGAAAGAAGGGGAACATTATAATTCTTTCCTACATTTACCCCTTCTTTTCTCCTTTTCAGCTACTTAGAGTCTCTGTTACAGCAACAAGGAGATCATTCTTCCCACCTGTGAACACTATCATTGATGTGCAATTGTTTCTTTAGTAGCAGACACGTGCTTTCCCTCAACACGAACTGGGCACCCCCTGGGGAATACATGACTTTGTTTTGTTTTTTGTTTGTTTTTTGGGAGGGGGAGGGGGGTATTTTATTTGAAAGCTTTCTAGAACAGGAAAACTTATTCCCACCAAAAACTAAATAATATTTCTTTTCTTTCTTCAAAGGACATGAAGATGTCATCAATGTAACAGTGCTCAGAGTCTCTTATCCTTTTATCATACCAAAGGTTAAAAAGGTTATCAAAGATCATTGGTATGCATTTGTTTTTACATAGAGGTGTGTTAGATAACAAATCATTCCTCACTCCAGAAATGTTATGGACCTCATACCATGATCTAACTAGGTAGAAAATAAGTGGGTTTTTGGTTTTACTAATAGCCCCTTGATGCCTGAATTTATTTAAAACATTTTTTGTTTTTGCTTTCAGGTTGATGTTAAATTAAGTGGAAATTGTTCATTTGTCTATAGAACATAGAAAATATATAAATTCAAGTATGATGTAGGTATGACAACAGGCATAAACGAGAAACCAGTGCTTGCAAAAGGTTCCCAGGTACGTATCGAATATGCACAAACAGGCATTTGGGGAATACAAACGCTATCTCAGCTGCAGTCTGAAAGGAAGAGGTGTGATGAAAATTTGCAACAATCGCTATTAAGGGGATAATATTGTTGGGTTTCCATTTGTAAATTCCATTTATATAGATAGTCATCAAGCTCCTGTATATATATGAGAGGGGAGAGAGTATTGTTCAAAGATGACAGAAATCTTATTTGTGCTGCCCAATAGCAAAATTTGACTTTGACTTATTCTTTTTATGATTCCAGATAAATTCACTTACATTTGTGTTAAGAGCTTTAAAGATTGTGAAGAGGGATAGGGAGCGATTGAAATAAGTACATTATCCTTGTCAAAATGCTCATCTTTATACAGCTGGCTGCCAAATAAGTTTAAGGTTATCTTTGTGCACTTGTTAAGGTCTCTCTATTTTTTCAATTAGCAAATTTTAAATTTGATACCAACCAGTTTCATTGCTGATCATGCCCTCAGAACAAGGAATGCAGTCAAAACAGCATACAGGTTGTCCCCTCTTCCTAGCCATGCGGGTACCTGGGGGGCAGCCCTCGCTGCAAACTGACCTGGGTGGCTGTGAGTTATGTCATAGTTATTCTAAACCATTTGATTTTGTTGTGTGATACAGCACTAAGGCAAAAACACCAATAAACAAAAGTAACCTGTTTGGAGTCAAAGTTCCAGAAGATTTTGTCTTCATCAAGAGTGAGTTCTTCACCGTTGTACGCTGACTTTTTAACCACACCCACACTCTGAACCTCAGTTCTTCCATCAGGGAGCCACAGCCAGTTCATTACATCATATATTGGTAAGGCGTCACCATTCTCATCAAATGACACTTGATCACCAAATGGTGTTGTAAAGTTTACCTTTTCCAAGTAATACATAAGCTACACATGGGAGAGATACACATGATTTAAAATGTACAATGTTCTTTATTGGGTAAAATTCTGTGAGCAAAGCCTGCTGGAATTAGTCATTCTAGTGTAGTACAGAAAACATCATAAATGTGATCTATGTTAAAGAGGTCATATTATGCTTTTTGGCTTTTTCCATCTCCTTTATTGAGTTATATCTTTTTTGTGCATAGGTTTGCAAAGTGACAAAGCCCAAAGTCCACCCCAAAGAGAGTTCCCATCTCCCACAGAAAACACTGCTCTGAACTGCCCGAAAACAGCTTGTTTGTAGTCCAGCCTTTTCCCTTTGATCCCTGTGACACAGCAAAATGCACGTCATAATGCTTGCCAAGCGGCTAGTCCAACATCCCCTCAAAAACACCGGTGGAAAGACACACTGAGCTGCAGCACACAGTGACAAGGCATCCGCCTGCTGCCTCTCCTCTCCCTTCCAAACACTAGGTGTTGTGACTCCAGGCAGTCAATGGACATAAAGTTGTTACTGTCATGTAGAGACAGAGCTCAATTAAAACTTTATGGATGAAAAATACATTTGTTACAAATTAATAACTTACCACTCTGAAACTCTTGTTCCAGTCTATATTGCTAAGCTAGTAAGGGGAACATATACAGCTAAACTGAAGCAGTGTTTACCGGCTTCTCACGACCTGCCCTACTCTGCTTCTGATTGGCTAGTAGTCCTTAACTAGGAACTGCGCATGTGCAACTCCCAACAAACATCTTGTAGAGGCAAGATGTAGCACTCCATAGCTAGAACGAACAAAAGAAAAGAGGAGCTGCTGCAATGTGTGGTATAAAAAAAAATATGGTGCTTTGTGAAAATGAAACCATGTAAACCTGTTCTGGAACAACCCCTAAATTGGATTTTGAGCCTGAAAATGAGCATAATATGACCTCTTTAAGTGTTGAGGCACCCTCAATGTGACATTTGTTTTTCTGATCGATATATTATCAGAGGTTAGGGACTGTGTGACAACTGTCAAAATAAACAAAAGCAATTAATTTTTCCTCTATTTCTTGCATTAAATATGTTCTTTCATACTCATTAAAGAAATTCAAGTTAATAGCTGGCATACTGATATCAATACCCAATAATATAAAAGTGGATTCAGTAAGTACCTCAAGGTGTAGCAGCTGTATTCAAAACATTAACAGGTGGAGTGTAAATTGAAATCACACCTGCCATGGCTCCAGTCTTTGCAAACTGGCACAGCTGTGCCCGCTGAAAGGCCCTCTACCTGGCTCACACTGCAGCATGTCATCGAGGGCATATGCCAGAGCATACACAGCCTTGTAAATGTTGTACTCAGGTCCGAGTTCTGACACATTCAAAAACTCAGTCTCCACATTCTCTAGATCTTCCTGTCCAGTGCATAATGCTCCTCCAGCTTCCACCCAACCTGCCGGAGGTGGTGAAGATCTACAATGAAATGTGTATTCCCAAAACTGCTTCTCCTGAAATGAATTAAAAATATATAGTAACATAAAAAATATAATTCTTGCAATTGTCTTTGTCATCAGATTGTAAGGTTAAATTCTCACCATGCTATTTTCATAGCTGTTGTTTTGTTGTTGGTGAGGATTAATTCTTAAAAGGAAGTCCCTGAGCCCTGGTATTTTTCCACGATGGATAGCAATGCCCAGTGTGCCACCCAGGTATGGCATGAAGGCAGGGGTATGGAGTCCATCAACTAATGTCCAAGCTTCACTGGCAATCCACTGCAGGCCTGTCACATTCTGCTTCACCACCTGTGCATTGCATTCAATCAGTGTGGGTTTTTTCAGAATCCTGTACACAAGTAACACCTACTTTGTAGTTTGTAATAAATTACAACAAAACTGCACAGTGATTTTCTGGTACAGAAATAGATGTTTTCTTTCGTGATAAAAGTACCAATGTAATTAAATTATTCAGAGCAAATGTAATCTCATCTGCATATTTTGATCAATGTTCAAAAACAGCAGAGTGATAGAAACAGAAGTAAAGGATAAATAGCAGATATGATTTTAAAATGTATAACACGGGTATAGAGTCATATGAACTTTGTTTCTTAATGTGAATTTGTTTAATTGAAAATTAATTGAAAATGAATTCACATAATCAGGTGTGAATGGGTAAAAATATTTTAGGGATTCATAAATATCAATGTATTTTCATCCCCCAACCTCTTCCATGAGTTGAATCATGTGCATCTTAAGTGCAAACACAATGACCACACGAGCTGTGGATTTTGTCATCACACCCACAATCCTCTTATATTCATTTGGATCATTGCCCCAAGGCAAAATCTCTGAGTAGGCCAGGCAACCTCCACCAGACCTAGCCAAGTCATATTGAAAGGATCTGGAAACATGAAGTCCATAGTCATCATCACTGACCAGCAGACCTGCCCAGGTCCAGCCAAAGTGTTTTAGAATGTGAATCATAGCGCGCACCTAATTGAATACAGAGTGGAATGATTCATATATTGGCTGGAATATTCTTATAGTGGAAATTTGTTTATACATGTCTCAAAATGCATTCAAAGTTAATTAAAAGCTTTAAGAAGCTTTTTAACATAAATACATATAGTTTTATCAATTAAGCTCTGAGAAAATGATTTTTGCACACAGGATTTGTTAATTTTCAAGACTAATCTCAAATTTGCTACACTTGAAACATATATACAGTTATTATTTTACTAATCGTGTTTCACCTGGAAAGCATCACTTGGGATTGTTCTGAAAAAGGATGGAAACCTTTGCCGATCACTCAGGCAGGAACATGTAGCAAAATAACTCACCTATAAAAAAGCAAACATAATGCACACATGTTGTGCATTTTAGTAGAGAATAATTCAATTATTTTTAAAATTTAGAATTCAAAAACAGCATGTCAAAACCACACATGACACTAAAGGCAAGAAACTTACAATAGGCAGTTTGAATAAACCTAGCACACTGGAGATGGCAATAGAAAGGGTTGAGATGGGATCGCCCACAATCCCCACAACTGGAGGGTTTCCTAAACAGTTCTCCTGAAGCAGAAACTGCTCCTCTTGACCACTGGCCAATGACAACGCAGCACTGAACCCAATACCAAGTGTAGCACAGTTATCATAAAGAATGTATCCCAGAGTCACATTAGGTAGCAGATTGGTGTTCTTGTTGATCTCATCAACAGCAAAGGCCATGGTCATGGCATGCCTGAACCCTGGAGTGTCAAAACTAATACACAAAATATCACTATTAACCACTAAAAAGTACCACAGTATAATAATACAGTATAATAACCAGCTTATGTTGTCTGTTACATGAGTGTGAGACTTACCCTTGGCAGTTGGGCTGATGTGGCTCTGAGGTGAACGTCAGCTCTGGGAAGATAAAGCTATAGTGGACTTCAAACAGCCCACCAAGGATTACATCGCCAGCCTTGTGCATCCCATTAAGGTTAAACCGCCTCCGTAACTTACAAGATGGGGAAAGAGGGGAAGACTCAGAGAAGAAAAGAGAGGAATAAATTAAGAACAAATAAACACACAATAACAAATATTTGATAATAAATCTGCCCATAACTATCCTCCTCCCTTCACCCCTGTATCTAATCTTCATGGACAAATTCTTAATTTTATATGCAAGGCTATGTCATCCCTTTGCGTCATTGTTTAATCATTCACACCACCCATCGAGGCATGGGCAGCAGTGGGGGATGGACATAATCCACATTTCAAAATAATTGTGCCACATCTGTGCTACATTAGCAGGTATTTTGGCATATACAAGCCCCAAACCATATTATATATATTTAGTAATCGCTTTAATGTTCTCTAATGGTCTTTTTCTTTTAAAATCAATTACATTGTGAATCTCTCTAAAATACTAGAATCAGGTTAGAAATGTTTGTAATGATTGTTAACATGACAATTGTGATCTATACCATTATTTTAGGGGGAAAATAGCCAGAAGAAAAAGTAATGTGCAGATTAGTTGGATAATACATCTCATACTGCAGTAATGATTCAGAAATCCAGAGTACTGTCCTAAACCTAGAGGGAGCTGGATGTTATTTATCAGCAAAAGTGGCCTTTGTCAGATCCAAAAGGAAATGCTAGAAGAGGCTGATACAAACCAATTTAAAATAAGGAGCTATTTGTAGATGTTTTTATGAAATCATCAATTCATCTAAATTAATCACTTTTAACCTATTTGTGAACGGGTCGTAACCCCACGTAAAATTAACCACATGCCTGCTTTCTTGATCCCTTGGAACAGCCACTATTCAGCTATGTGATGAAATTGGGTAGGATTTGCTTCCTGCGCCCTTCCAATCCTCTTGCCTACTGATTCTGAACTTGTAACACCCCTCTTTGGTTCAGAAATTGACCAACCAGTGGTTAAAAATAAGTGGGCAACACCAGCAAGCTGTGCAAAATATAGCCTCCAAGTTTATTAATGCATTTAAGGAAATAGACAAAAGAGTTAAAACAAGGCTGAAGCTAAGAAAACTAAGTCTCAGTGTCATTTAAGCCAAACAACATGTCAAGTACTGGTCTGCTGCCGTTGGTCAGTTGTCGTCAAGTATCGTCTCGTGGACATTTTTAGCCCTTTACAGATCCTTTTCGTAAGTCCGCATTTCTGCAGACTTTGGCTGAGGGAATTGCCCACAGTTCATAGCGGTATGACATGAAACACGGGGGTTACCAGGGGAAGCCCAGAAGCGAAAGAAATTTCACAGCAAATCCGCGTTATAAGAGAAGAAGAAAACAGTAATCAAACAAGCATCAACACCTAAGCTGATGTTAAAATTGTTGAAAGTTTTCTTAACTTAGGATGGTACATAGAACAGATGAAGTCAGAGGAATGCAATCACCTTATTACACACTTAGTTTATTCAACTATTTATTTTAGTTTTTGCTTAATAATGCTGTTTGACTAACAATAGTGTATTGATTATTGACAAATACATATTTACATTTACCTCTGCTCCACTCTGTAGGGCAAGAGCCTGCAGGACTTAAAAATCAGGCAAAAACATAAAATAAAACGTGTGCAATGTGTTTCAGCGTCGTCAAGGTAACGTGATAAAGTGGCAAAGGGCTGTCCCGTTCCTCTTTACAGCATTTAGAGCCCTTGCAGCCTCTTAAACTCAGTCACTTTGTGACGTCAGTAAGTCTGTGAGGGTTCAGGGCTTAGGGCTTAGGTCACATGACCAATTTTTTCTATGGTTGCCTTGAAACAAATCAGATCCACATCAGAAGCCCTGGATGAACAGGGATGTACGTCTCCTGCTGAAGGCCCTAAACACTGACTTTAAAACGGGAGATGCACAACCCTACAGTACAGCCAGAGATGACCTGAAGCGGGCATCAAGAAGGCAGGCACCGCTACAAGCTGAAGGTTGAGAAGCACTTCAACTCCAACACCCAACGTATGTGGCAAGGCATTCAGGTCATCAGTGATCACAAGCCCACCAACCCCTCCCTCCTTTCCTCTGATATCCTCTCCTTCCTCAACGAGCTTAACAAATTCTACGCTCGTTTTGAGAAGGACAACGAAGTACCTTCAACCAAGGTAGTGCTGACTTCTGACCACCAACCCTTAACACTCTCCCCCCCACTGATGTCAGGGCAGTGTTGAGCAGGATCAACGCTCACAAGGCTGCAGGCCCTGATTGCATCTCTGGACATGTGCTCAGAGTATGTGCTGAGGAGCTGGAGGTCCTGACGGACTTGTTCAACATGTCCTTAGCCCATGCTTTTGTGCCAGCCAGTACCAAAACACTCCACTCCAACTTTCTCAACCAGTGTTGGGGGTAACGCGTTACAAAGTAATACGTTACTGTAATCAGATTACTTTTGTCTGTAACGCAGTAATGTGACGCATTACTGTTGATAACTTTAATCAATCAATCTATAGCCATGTTTCCATCCAATTGTCATGAAAATTTTAAGCGTACTTTTGAAATGTCGCAAAAAAGGAAAAAAAAAGAAATATGTGCGTTCCCATCAGCTTGCTTAGAGTGAATAAACAAGGCTAAGGCAAGCGTCGTTACGTCAGTAGTTGACGTTACACATGGCTGTAATAAACAAGACGTTCCAAACCAGAAACAAAACCAGTTGCTTGAACCTCATGGTCATCTTAGAAAGATGGAGAGAGGTCCTCAGAAATGTGTTTCAAGCAGGCAAACTCTTACCAGCCATGTCTCTGCACGTTATGGGAATATCCGGTGTTTTGCATGCCTCCCGAGAATTGCATGCAACTCCAAATAATGCTTTTAAATGCTATAATATCCTTTTTGGGGTTCAATGGGGATAAATGATTCTAAGTATATAGCCTATTCTATGAACGTTTAGAGTCGTTAATATTTTATTACACTCAGTAGAAGTAGCATTCATTGAGAACACTGTTTGATCAGTGTGCGGAGCAAAGTATCTGAAAAGGACCTTTAAGAGGTGAATGCATAATTTGGCAGAATGAATGATGAAGGTTACCTGCCGAGATTTGCATCCACCTCTTTTCTTAGCACAAATGAGCGTTACCAGCTGTGAGGTGCATGGAATTATCGCAGATATGCAGAACTCCGCACAACCGGGCAAGAGGCCGACAGAAGAAACAGCTGCTCAGACGTGAGTTACAAGTTCGGTACGTCAGAACTTATTCGGGAAAAGTGTTTCTATCTCCCATTTAGCGCATTTACTCTTTTTCAACAAAGGCAAAAACCACCTCAAAAACTTTATTGTGAAATTAAGGATTTTTTTTCAAATTTTGCCGTTTCCATTAACCTTTTCTAATGCGATACTTCAAAATGCACATTGAAAAACGTTGATGGAAACACAGCTAATCAATCATTTATTATTTGTCCCAAAAGGGCAATTTGTGCTGAAGCAGGCATATTAACACAACACAGAATAAAGGAAAATATAACAGTGAACCTATACACTGGATTCCTCACACCAATACAACATTGGTCGTCCTAGCTAAAAAGAAAGGCACTGACAACTATAAAATATATCTATGCCCATCACACTACTAACATTCTGCACTACAGCAATTATCCCACACTACGATATATTTTGCGCAAATTTTACCCTAGATAAAATATAACCCTACAGATAAAATCCCACAGATAGGATTTACTTATCTCAGTTCCAAAAAAAAACAAAAAACAACAACAATAAAAAACTAGCTAAACAGCTACATAGTTGCCTCAATCTCTTATTGGCATGGTCAGCGTCAACCATCCCCTCAACATCAATAAGGTGGCTACCTCTTTCTGCTATTCGCATTTAAAGCTTGAATGGAGACAGGAATGAAGGAGTTCTTATACCTGTTTTTCCTGGCTATAGGGGCTTTTAAGCACAGGCCAGATGGTAGTAGAGTATACTCAGTTAAGAGGATGGGCACTATCTGAGCGAATAGCCGTTGCTTTTATAAGCACATGCTTTACGAATATATGGTTCAGACTGCTAAACTGAGCTCCCACTATCTTGCGGGCTGCTTTAGTGATCCTAACCAGGGCATTTTTATCTTTGATACCAAGGTTGCCATACCAGCAGATGATGGAAAATGAAATGACAGATTCAATGAAAGCTCTATAGAATAGTGTCATTAGAGTCTTGTCAATCTGAAAGTTTCCTTAAGCAAAAAAGGCGTTGCTGGCCCTTTTTCAAATTTCAGGCGATCATCAATCATAGTGCCCAAATAATTATAATTAGTGACCATTGTCCACTGTTCAGTTTCATCATCACTGAGAAGGCTAACAATTACAGAGTCGTCAGCAAACTTAATGATGTGTCTGTTGTCATAATGGCTTCGGCAGTCATTTGTGTATAGAATATACAGGAGAGGAGAAAGAACACGCCCCTGAGGAGAGCCGGTGGATGATTTCAACACACTAGACATTTTATCGTTCACCCTTACACACTGCGTTCTGTTAGTGAGAAAGTCGAGGACCCAACCTGCAATACTTAAATCTACCTTAAATGATTAACTAGCTTCTCAACTAGCATATGAGGTTGGATAGTATTGAATGCTGATGAGAAGTCAACAAAAATAATTCTAGCATGGTTCCCGCTACCTTCTAGGTGTTTATATAGCTGTTTTTTGACCAGTTTTTCGAATGACTTCATTACTAAGGAAGTTAAGGCAACAGGTCTAAGCTCGTTAAGGGCTTGGGGGTGGTTTCCCTTGGCAACGGGCACCACAATAGACTTCTTCCTTATAGATGGTACTCTCTGCTGTGTAAGTGACAGTTGGAAAATATTATTAAAAATAGGAGCTAGCTGCTCTGCGCACACTATAAGCAGGGTCTGGGTCTACAACCTTTAAAACATTTAATCACACTGCTCGTCAAAGAAAGGGTTAATAGGCGTAGTAGGCCTACACAGAAGACCTTTCCTGAGCTCAGAGTGTTGATCGCTAAAATCCTTTACAAAAGAAAAGTTACAGACTTGTATGTGTCTTTGATTGTACCATAACATAGATCCAGAGTCTTATTGTGTCTGGTCGGGCATGTGACATACTGATGAAAGTCTCTCAAGTTATTGACAGTGTACAATGGTTCATATCACCAAGAATAATATTGGGGGCTTCGGGATATTGTTTAGAGCCTCTGTATTACTTGGTGGATAAGTTCACAGGCAATACTTTCATTTGCCTTCAGATGGATGTACACAAGTGTGACAAACAGGTGAGGAAACTCTCTGGGCAAATAACGAGGGCGTAAAGAAACAGAAAGCATTTCAAGATCAGCAGTACAGAGCTTTTCTCTGACGATGACAGATTTACACCAATGTTCATTAATGTAAAAACATACTCCCACACCTGTGGACTTGCCTGTAGTTGCTTTATTCCTGTCCAGGCGAAAGGGCATCCCGAAACCAAGTCTTTCCAAGTCTTTATACGAGTCTCTGACAGCCATGTCTCAGTCAGGGCTAAAATGCAGGCTTCTCGGAATTCGTGGCTATAGTGAGCCTGCGACTGCAGTTCATCAGTTTTATTCCGTAGGGACTGCACATTTAAAAGACTGATGGATATGCGAGAAAGAGGTTGTCTTTTTATCCTAAGGCATAGACCTCCTCTTCTCCCCTGCTTCCTAGTCTTCCAAGTGCGGTCTGGTCTGCCGGAGCGTTGCCATAAGCCACTAGTTTGGTATTCTTCTAAGTTCACCATATCAAAGTCCCCTGGAGGATCGCAGCATTTATCCCATCAGGAAAAGAGCTCCCTACTATACTGGATCCGAGTGTGGTGGTTATAAGTTGGCGAGTTCTGTTCCACTCTCTGGGCTAAGTAAAACGTGAGCCACAGCAATACCAGGGCTAAGACGTCTATGCTAAATCACTTTCTCGGTATCACAGTTTACGAATTAATTGCTGGAGGACTCTTTTAACGTCCCGCCTCTGTAGCCTGGGCAGTCTTGTGCTGACTCTGATGAGGAACAGGTTGTCCGAAAAACGATTTGAGAGACTTCTGCTCATCAGGTATTACCACTTCTTTGATAAGCATGTCCAGTAACAGGGAAAAATCTACTTTAAAGCCATAGTTCTGCAAGTGAGCTACAGTAAGTTTTTTGTGTGGGTTCGGCCTGTTAACTGCACAATTCATATTACATAACATATGCATAGTTTTTCCTTTGAAGTCTCACCATCATCTGATATTGTGATGAGGGCCAGTGTCTTCTTTTTTTTTTATATTATTTTCAACAAATTAGTGTAGCAGATCTAGGCTACGTAAAATTTTAATACAGTTATGAAAATATTGTTATGAATATTATTTTGTGCCTCGAAATTAGGAGCACCACCTAAAGATTTGCTTGTCCGCCCAAGGCTTTAGGTCCTTGAGTATAGCCTGAGAATTACACGAATTTCTGGTAATTCATTAGTTGTTACTGGTTCAGTTATTCTGAAATCGTAAGGTCAATCAGTCAGTCTCAGATCTGTGCATAAGTTCTATGTATAGGGACTCTAGATTCTTAATAACACACACACACATACATCGCTGTGCTCAAGGTGAATACAAAAGAGGGTACAATAGTGGGTAAATGTGGTGATATTACAGGGTAACCGTTAATATGACAACCAGGAGGTAATGAACAGGGTAGCCTATGTAAGGTTCGATTGAATTTCAGTTTATATTGTAGAGGGAGAGAATTCTACGAGTATGAGGGAACGAATGACCAAAATTAGGTTGTAGATTTAGTTTGACTCATCTAAGGGTTTATTAACTGTGGATGGAGCCAACTAGAGAACACCAACGAGTCACAGAGTGTGGTTTGTTTTGCCCTACCGTTTCCGCAGGTCCCGTAGCGAGGCTCGACTGCCGGTTGGCTCGGGGAGTCGGTTCTGGCCCGACCCCAGTGGCGTTTTCGAGTTGGGTTCGAAACCGGTGGGTTTGTCCGGAGTCCTCTGTGGGAAGCGCTTGCAGCAACGGGCCGTCAGCCAAGGCTTTTACTCTGATCTCAGTTCGTTTGGTGTCGCTATAGCGGAGCCCACTCAGGGTTCTGTCGTCAGAGCCGTGGTTTCATTTATTCAAGGCCATAAATGAAGGCTTCTGAGTTTCTGGTCCAAAGTTGCTCACAACGGTCGGATTAAGCAGGCAGCTCCAAACAGGATATAAAATTGTAATTCAGGGTCGCAGCTTTCTCAGCTCGTCTGAAGGAGATTTAAATACGAAACGAAAAAAATTGGAATTTCAAAAAGTAAAGGAAGTTAAGAGAGCGTATATGTTTAGTTTCAAGAAAGTTTAAAGAGAAGAGCTTTTTTTTTTTTGAAGAGAAGAGAGCAAACAAAAGACCTTTTTATTGATTCCACTAGGTAGTGTGACGTAAATTTTTGGGGATGGTCTCCCGGACGTCGCTAAGGTGTTAACTTTTTGGGATGAAGAAATATACGTTGCGCGTATTTCCCTTTAATCTCTCTCTCCACAATATTGACATTTGGAAAAATACTTAGTTCTAAACATTCGGATAAAGACAGTTAAGACAAGGCTAAACACTATGGAAAAAGGTTATAATGGTTATATAAAACGTAACAAAGCTTAATTACCTGTCCTCAGTATACTTGCTGGTAACTACTTTTAACTCACGAGACAATTTAGATGTAAGCGTGACAGCAAAATTTCATTTATGCAATTACATGGTGATAGGTAGCGATCCTGTCAGTGTTTTAAACACTTGCATGCTATACCTTTCTTGTCCCCTTGGTGGCGCTCGGGTCACACAAGAAAAGAGTAGACACTCCACTTTAACTGAGAGGCTGGTGATACACACAAGCGTTTCAATGGATAATTTAGTAGGAAATTGTATATGAAACATATAACTAAAGCATTAGTTAATACTGAACAGAAAGTGATTACTAGGGAGTAGCAGGGATGAATTAGGACAAAACAGAAAGAGGTTAGAAAACTCGTCCAAGATTACTTTCTTATGGGTCTGCTAGTCTTCAAAACATCACTAAAGGATAACAACAGGGTCATTACTTACTAAACTCAGAGGCAAACACCGCTGCTCACTTAGCAAGGTTATTATTTAAATAGAACACACAGTTATAACGGAACCTTGCTTGGTTCGAGAAACAGGGGTTTTTATGGTCTCTTTTCTTTGCATCGGCTATCAGAGAATGAAATGGTGGTTTATGGCTCAGCCGTTCTGTGGAGAGAAAAGAGTCAGGTTGAGGCTGGAGGTGACCTGCGTGAGGGAGAAGGGGTCAGATCGCCCCCTTTCCTGTCC